TCTCCCTCTCCCTTTTCTCTACTGTCTGGTTTAGATTTTTGAGCCTGAAATTGAGTTGTCTCTGCTTTCAGCACAGGGAAACATCTGCTTATTACCCTGATAGAGCCATTAGTATGCTTTCAAGTACAGTCTTTTTATTCCAGTGAGCAGTGCTTCTCCCTGTTCCCCAAATAATTTGTTCCCTTTGGACATTCTGATGTTGAGGTCACTGTTCTGGGGGTGTAACTGTAAATAGCAGATTAGATTAACATGCAGGTGGCAGGAGCTGTTCGCATGGACAAAACTAACTTATCTTTATTTCCCAGCTCAAATGGAAATGCAGGAAGGAAGATGAGACGAGAGGGGGTTACTCAAAAGACGTTCTGCTCCAGATCCTGCAAAAGGTATAAGAAAGGCTGGTGGATTCTAGGAAGTTACATACAAACTGGAGTGGGTCAGTTCTCTGTCCAGCTTTCTCAGACAATTGTCAGAGGCCTTCAGCATGACCCATCGGCCGTGATCTGTTCCCCAGGGAGCACCAATGGCTCACTCCCAGCAGGGACTCCTGAAACTCTTCCCACTGTGTGGTTCATGCCCTGCATAGCAGTCAGCCTGGCTGTGTGGTTATGGTGCACTTTTGCCTTCACTTAAAAGCACTAGACATTTGCTGCTGTGGGAAGTGCAGGGACAGGCATAGACAAGCCTTTGATGTGAGGAATCCCAGCAGGTGATCTTTATTTTCCCTTCATGCAAGTGTCTCCTGTAGCCCTGATTCTGAGCAAAGCAGCCCTCTTGCACTGGGGCTTGCTGGAAGCAAAGTGTGGAGCTCCATTCCTCCCCAGAACTATTTCCTGGAGGGGCAGAAATTATGACAGCTTGGGATCTGTGGGAGCATCCTGCAAGACAGAAATGGTGACAGCTCAAGCCTCATGTCTGAGAAAACACACGTTTTCCCTTTGCTTTCATCTCTTGGGTCTGCAATTAACCTGTCTTTCTGTCTTTGTCTTACCAGTATGGTGATGTGCTCAACTTGGTGATCTCCAGCAGGAAGACTGGGAGTGCAGTTGTGGAATTTGCTACGGTTAAGGCTGCTGTAAGTCTGGCAGAGCCCCCGGATGTGTGTGGCTGACAGTGGGCAAGAAGGGGTGCTGCAGGAGGGAAGGCTTGGCGAGCTGACAGCCTCCAGACGCTGCCTTGTCATTAAGGCACTGAGGAAGAGTAATGAGAGTCTAAAGGTACAGATGCCTGAAGGGAGTGGCAAAGCTGGAGGCACAAACCCAGAGCGGGTCATGCACATAAACAAGCAGGTTGTGTGTGGAAAAGGCTGAGGGAAGAGGCACTGCTTCAAAAAGCAGGCACTGAGCTGTTCAACCAGCTCTCACTGAAGGTGAACTACCCATTGTGGGAACGGGCTTCAGGAGTTTTAGAGGTTATATCAGGCATTTGTTTCAAAGAAAGCAAAATGTCTTGACTCACTGGGAGTTACAATAATTCATGTGGCTGTGGAAACAGAAGTCGATCAGTTACCCTTAACTGTAGTACTTCCATCAACTTAAACTTCACTGTACAAGAGTCTCTATCCCTTGTCACCTTTCTTTCACTCATATATCCATATAATTAAGGCAACCCCTCAGGGTTGTCTCTGACCCTGTGACCTGTTTATCAAAAGTACCAGCAGTGATATGTTCTATATTTAATGCAAATACAGACCCTAAAGGGTGTCCGTCATGTAGGGCGGCTGGGAAATCAGTGCTGGTTGTCCCCTGCTTGCCCTTGCTGCCAGGCTGAGATGGAATTTAATGGTTGTTGGTGACCCGGGAGGGAGTGGGGTCTGAAATTCAGGTGGGGATGGATATCCTCAATGGCTGTTTTCATTGTCAGGAGATGGCTGTGAAGAATGAAGTTGGCCTGATAAATAATCCTCTCAAGCTTTCCTGGCTGGAGGGCCAGCCCCAGAACAGTCCCAGCACCATCCCTGACAGCAGTGGTGACCCCACGACTTCCCAGGTAAGGAGACACAGCACAGGCTGCTGTTACCTAAACCTGTTTCTATAGCAGCCTACACTTCACAGTGTGCTTTGCATTGGTGGCGAGATGTTGATTCCCAGCAGAGCTGATAAGAAGCTCTTAATGCAAAGCCCCCTTCTCTGGTACCTCTGACCCTTTTGTGCTGAAGCAGTGGCATTTTTGGAGGACCTCTTGCCTGAGTAGCAGCACACTGAGAACACGAGTATTTGGATACCTCGATCTTCACACAGTCTCTCTTCAAAGTGATGGCCGAGGAGGTTCCTTGCTCAGCCAAAGCCTCTAATGCTGTTCTTGGGGGATTTTTACCAATGTCATTTGTGGGAATTCTTTGGCTGACAGCTGGTTGAAATGGGTCTTCTAGAAGGCTTCTTTAGGGAGGCTTGGTTACTCGCTGCATTCCCAAGAGGATGAAATTTCAGTGCTGAAAGGAAACATCTATTCTCAGGGTCTGCAAGATGGAAGAGAAGGCAGTTATATACCTACATAGAGACCTCATTGCCTGGTTTTGGTCCTCTTTACTCGTGGCTACTTTGAGTGCAAGGTGTGTGTTAACTCTTAGCTGCTGCTTCTTTATTTCACAAGAAATCCCTCTGAAGCTGTTGCTCTTGAGTAGTGAATGTATTCCAATCACAAAACACATGGAAGGCAATAACGTGGTCGTTGAAAGGTAGAAACCAGGCTGAGAAGGTGTTGCAGCAGCTTGTTGACTCTGTTACCCCTTGCTCTTGGTGGCTTTCTGGAGTGGGAGGTGTGTCTGCTTCTTTTGAAGCAGGTTATGTCACACTTTGCTCTGTAGCACAGAACTGACCTTGTGCTCTCTGTGTCTTCTGATCTAGTTAGCAATTCTTTGGCTGTGAAGGGACCCGAGATCCTTTGCTGGTTATTTGAGTTCCAGTTCAAACTCCATGTGACACTTACTGCATTCTTCCCTGTGGTGTAAAGATCAGAATGATCTAATTGCAGAGAGGACTCTTGCCTCATGCTGTACAGGTGCCCTTACCCGGTGTCTCAATCAGCTTTGTGTGTGTTCATTACCTACATATTTTAGCAGCTTATTAGATTGTTCAGAATGAGAACTGGCTTGTTCCTACCTAAGAGAGCTGCTGCTACAATTGGAATTTGCTGGTGGATTCTTGCCTCCATAGGTTCAAAAGCACTGGTTTTAACTGGGTTGATCTTGGCTTCTTTCCATGACCAAAGCTTGTTAGTGTGGAAGTGCAGCGTCTGCTGCTGTGGAGGATTAGCTTGGTGGAGCACAAGGGAGAGCAGGCTGCAGCAGCAAAAGGTGTCCATGCTGCTTGGAGCTGGTGACTCACTTCTGCCCAACACAGCCTTGGCAATCCCATACAGCTCTCAAAATGGTGAGGAGCTGTGGCCGGTGACTTGCATCCTTCCCCAGGCATTGCACTGCTGATACTTGTCTGTCTTCGCTGCTGCTTTCTGTAAGCAGCTGCAGATCCTCTGGTTACGTTGCAGTCTTGCTGTCCACACTGAGATCTCCAAGCTGCTCTGGTTCCTTTTCCTGGTTCCTACTCCAGACCCTCCCCAGATCCTGCTGCTGTTTCCACTGGGATGCTTCTGAAGACTGTAATGTGGTGAGAGCTTCTCTTGGCTGCAGTGCTTCCACAGAATGATAGAATCAACTAGGTTGGAAAAGACCTTTAAAATCAAGTCCAACCGTTACCCCAGGACTTCCAGTTGACTGATTCTCTGTCCTCAGCTCTTCAATTCTAGACCATACAAAATGAGCTCTCTCATACCTCTTGCCACTGCCTCAGCGTACTCCCTGCTTCATCCTCTCGTACACAGCCTGGCTTCCCAGCCACCGGGGCCACGCTCTTGTGTGGAAGCTGCACTAATCTCATTCTGATTTAAGCTGCCCTCGCTTCCTATCCTCTGCTCCCTCTGGGTTGCTCCTATTTTTGTCTGAATCCACCCCCGTGTTTGTTCCCACTCTGTGCAACTCCCTCCCTGCTCTGCTTCACAAACCAGCCGGAGACCTACAGTTCTCATGGCAACACGCTCGCTACTCATCCGCTTCCGAGCTGTGTCTGCTCCCTGCCTGGGGTAATCAGCCAGGAGCTGAGCCCCAAAGCCCTCAGCTACAGGGCAGCCACACACTAACAGGGACCATGGGGGCTCTGGGAGCAGTTTCCAGGTCAAAACCAGGCTGGCTGTTGAGAAGCCCTGCTGTGGGGAGCCAGTAAGAGACAAGATACTGGCCTCCACGGTCTTGGCTGGCTTGTTTTCTTCTGCAGCAGTGGGTTCACATTGTCCAGCAGTTCCTGGAGAGCTGCTGGAGCCAAAGAGGTGAGTTATGCTTGAATTACAAACACTGTGGATTGGCCACCGTTACTCCAGGCTACTGAGAGCCATGACTACTTGATTGCTGCAGCAGGTTCAAGGCACACAGCAGCTCTACAGTGCTGTGAAGAGCATGTTTTGCCACCACACAGCATGAAGCACTTCCCATTCAGCTGGATTAAAGTGCTGAGGAAAGCCTCTGTCTGGCACTCTTGCATCTCTCCTAGCTCCTTTGAGGTTTCATAGAGTTGGTTTCATGCTATCTGACTTTACAGGCTGATGTAAATCTGGAATGTAAGAGCCATCTGTGCATTCTCTGCTATGCCTCTGGGCACTTTGCTGTAGGTGGCTTCCAAAGCTTGTGGTTATCTGGGGGCCTGGAGGCTTTAAGAGCCCTGGTATCTAATCTAGCTATGAAAAAGGTCAGAATTGGTGACCCAGTGATTCCATTTCAACAGTTTGCCCCCGTGCTGACTTAAATGCTTTTAGCTTGGCAGAGCCCTTCCCATCCTACCCCCTGGGAAGATAAAGTCCCAGCCCAGGAGAGCAGAGCCATGCTGCTTCCCCACCCTCAGAAGAGCCTCGAATGCCACACAGGGTGCATCTTGGTGGCTACAGATAAGGGGCCTGAGCTCTCTGTGCCTGAGCTCTTTGTGGCTTGCTACCAATGAAATGAGGCAACAGGACGCTTCCAGTCACAGATACATTTATTCTTCCATATCTGTACAGCTGATAGATCAGTGCATGCTTCAAGCAGCAGTAGCTAGAGAAAGTTCTTCTCCTGCTAGTAGGATAAATAAACTGCTGTTGCTGTATTACGAGCCTGTGTGGATGCTTACCTGTTTCCAGGCTGGGAGGGCCGACTGCACTTGAGTTAGGGGGAAAGAAACCCACAAGGAAGAAAAAAAGGAAGAACAGCTTTGATTTCATTCACATCCAAACGTGGTGGGAGAAGAAAGACCAGTTTGTGTCTCTGACCCTTGCCGTAACTATGGCTTTGAGACGCAATGCTACTGTCTCCTTGCAAGCCGCCTGCTTATCCAGAGATGATGATGGTGCCATATCCCTTTCTGTCCGTGCTCTGCAGTGTCACAGCCGTATCCCCAAAACGAGTCATTTGCCAAACGATGCCATTCTTCCACAAGGAGGAGGTGCACAGTCAGGAACGGGGAATTCCCAGTGTGGAGAGCGGGACCTTGCCCACAAGGTTCCAGCAGCCAGTGCTGTCATCTGAGCAGGGAGCCTGCGAGCTCTGCTCCGAAGAACTCTGTGGCAAGGACAGGAACAGGGACAGTCTGTGATGGGTAAGGTGAGAACAACAAAACAGACCACACAACAGGAATGCTGCATGCGTCCTCCTGCTAGGACTGGAGAAACTGGCAGCAGCAGTAAAGAAATGGGATATGTTAAATGATAAATACCTTCAAATGGCATAATCTCTTGGGTTCTGTTTCCTGAGGGTCTGCAGAACATCCTCGAGAAGCGATAGCCCCAAATCCACTTTGAAGGACAGGAAGGGGTCAGACAGGTCAGAAAGAGTGGTGCCGTTCTGGGAACCTGACTCTGAGGTCCCATAGTCTGTAGCCTGGTCCTTGTGGAATTGAGTTTGAGTGGCTTTATGGTATTGAGTAGCATCAGAAAAGGAGATGTCGGAGTGAGAATCTGTGTGGTCAATGATGTTGGGGCAGCTAGAACTGTCCAGGTACAGCCGGGGAGGCTTGGGGGGAGCTTGTGCCTTGGCTAGGTTTTGCTCACTCTGACATGACAGGTAGTCAGACTTGTCCTTCAGATCCCTCAAGCATTCCCTCTTCTGGCACTGTCCATCACTGTCCAGCGTGTGGCTGTTCTGGTTAAGGAGGATGACTTGGTTGCCCAGCTTTTTGTGTCTCCTGAGTGAGAACCGTCTGAAGAACGTTGTGGATTTAATGGACCCTCTCCGCCAAGTATCCATGCTGATGAGAGGAGCAGGAGGAAACTGATGACTCTTCACAGGCAGGTGCTGGACTCGTGTCGCAGGATCAGCAGCAAGCGGCACGACAGGAACAACCTCTTCCGTCCCTGTTCCTGTAGCTGGAAGGAAAACAGAGAGGCTGGTATTGCAGGAAATGCAAACTTCCCACTATCTCCCTGTGCTATGGAGCAGTTGGCCTGCCTTGGCTATGGAGGAGTCTCCTTCAGTGGAGTCTCCTTCTTCAGTGGAGAAGGAATGGTGATGTCTGAGCTTATTAAATCTGAGCTGCAGGAACCAAGTGGTGAAGAATAGCAAAGGCACACAGTCACCATGAGAACAGATTTAATCTAGCATCTAGAACAGAAGGGCACTGGGGTACCATGGTAACCAGGCACCTTCTCCATGCAGGGCACAGTATAAGAATCTCAGTGGGTGGTTGGGAAGGGAGACGGTGACTCAGTCCTGCTGAAGGAAACCAAAGAAACAGTCCAGGAGGAATCTGAACCGCGACAAAACCCAGGTGTAAAAGGGAAACATCAGGAAAATGGAATGTAAACCAGACTTACGCTGTGGTGGAGCAGCACCTCAGTCCAACAGGCGGAGAGGAGAGACTGCTGAAGCCCTCGGAGAGCTGAGGCTGCCACGTTCACCAGCACTGGGACGCTGGAAGAAGCAAGTCCAGGAACAGTTCAGCCAGATTGGACCCGGAACGCCGAAAATCCCCAGCGCCTCTTTCTCTTCATGTGCCTCCTGTCACTGCTTCCAGGCTGCAGTTCCTTGTGCGTATGGATTTGTTTTGAGCCAAGCCCTTGCTGAGTCAGCCACGTCAGAAGCTGGGTTTTACACTATTGGTAATTGCCAGGATTGCAGGAAGTAGGTGTGTGGAGTGGCAAAGCATCAGCCCACGCGCTCCCGAGGAGAACACGAGCTCCCTCCGCGGCACCCAGGCTGCTGGAGAGCTGGCACCGTGGACTCGGAGCCCATCTTGCATCAGACTCTTCCTTCTCTTGGTGCTGTCCCTCCTGCCGCTTCTGCTGGCTTCTTGTCTGAGCAGAGCTCCCAAAGGAGCCTGGAAATCATCTCTTGTCTGTTTTAAGTGTAAATCCAGAGTGCGAGGTGGTGATTCAGGTTTGGATGGTGATTCATCTGCAGGAGCCTCATGCGGGTTACTTCACTGAGCCCAGCAAGCGACAGTGTTTGTGGTTAGTGGCCAGGAACTTTGAAGCAGCCCAGTCCTGCCACTGAGGGCTGATAGAGTCTGCTGCTTGCTCAGACACTCTGAAGACCTGTGCTGAGCAGTCCTGAGGGGTTATTTCATTCATGCAGCTCCTAAGATACCAATTACAGCATATTAGTCTCTTCATTTCCCAGTCTGAGCTTCTCATCTGTTGTGGGCTTCTGTTTTCTCCTCCCAGCCAGACACTGCAGCTGGAGGAGCCGCTTTGCTGGCACATGACAGCAAATTTGCACTTGCCCCATTTTCATGCAGAATCTTACTGAGCTGTTCTATTGCCTTTTCATTCCTTCTCTTTGCTGTTTACATGTCCCTAAGACACCAGTAGATGTAGTAAAATGAACATGAGATCTACTTCTTTTCATTCACCTTCTCTGAAGATGCTTTCATTTTCTACCTGAGCTGTCAAGCAAATGAGCTGCATGTTTCCAAGCATTGCAGAGCTTTGAATACATCCAGAGTAGTCAGGCCACCTACTGATGTTCAGCGGCTTCTGAAAGCAGAGAGCCAAACCCACCACTTTGCTCTGCAGGAGCTGCTGTCATCTGCTGCCTACATTGATTAGGTAGAGTCTGCAATCAGCTTGCTTGATATGACAGTTGCCACCACACACAGAAGAAAAGGCTCCAAGAGCTTTTGAGAACTCAGCCACACTTGGGTCAGGTTTGGGAGCATCCCTGCTGGTTTTCCTGCTGCAGCCACTGCAATGACTGAAACCACACAAGGCTTTGATGATGATGTTTTTACAGCATTAGCCTTTGTAACGGGTGAAGTGTACACTGGACTTTGTGCCCGGGTGTTGGGCCTGCAGAGCAAGCTCGTCATCCAAAATAACCAGCCCCAGTGAGGGAAAGCCATGCTTCCCATCCAGCCTCTGAGCAGCTTTCCAGACCTCAGAGCAGCTTCCAGTGCCTAAAGAGGCCTGCAAGGATGCTGGAGAGGGACTCTTCATCACGGACTGGAGTGACAGGACAAGGGGTGATGGGTTTAAACTGAAACGGGCAGATCAGGTTGGAGATAAGGCAGAAGCTCTTCCCTGTGAGGGTGCTGAGGTGCTGGCACAGGGTGCCCAGAGAAGCTGTGGCTGCCCCATCCCTGGCAGTGTTCAAGGCCAGGTTGGACACAGGGGCTTGGAGCAAGCTGCTCCAGTGGAAGGGGTCCCTGCCCGTGGCAGGGGTTGGAGCTGGAGGAGCTTTAAGGTCCCTTCAACCCAAACCAGGCTGGGATTCGATGATTCTAAGCCTGTTGTGAGCAGGGAGTACCTCCAGTTGCAAGCAGGTAACTGGGGCTCTCAATCTGTCCCACTCCCTGCCTCAGGGCAGCACTGTTAAGACTCGGGCTGTTTCCTATAGGCCAGGTGGCTTTCACACCTTGCCCCATTTCTCTGGGGTGGTTCATAGGAGTGTGACCCCCTGCCCCGAGCGTTCATGGTGTGAGTGTGGTTCATGGAGGGGGGCTGCGGGGGAGCTGTTCTCAACAGTCTGTTTGGTTTCTGCCCCCAGGAATCAGTGGTGTCCGAGCGGGACTACGAGAGCCTGGTGATGATGAGGATGCGCCAAGCAGCAGAGAGGCAGCAGATTATTGAGCGGCTCAAGCGGGAAGAGGAGGAGGAGTCTCACACCTAACGTGAGAGAGGATGGGTTCTCCCACCCCATCATTCTGCATTTCCAAAGCTGCTGCTTAATTTAAAGTCAATAAACCTCCTTTTTTTAAAGCTGTTGTAGAAATAGGGCTTGGAGCCAGGCTGAGAGAGCTGGGCTGGGGCAGCCTGGAGAAGAGAAGGCTCCTGAAGGGGAGACCTGAGAGCAGCTCCAGTGCCTAAAGGGGCTGCAGGGAAGCTGGAGAGGGGCTTGGAGCAAGGGCCTGTAGGGACAGGCCAAGGGGAATAGCTTGAACCTGCCCGAGGGGAGACTGAGCTGAGCTCTTAGGCAGAAGCTCTTCCCTGGGAGGGTGCTGAGGCACAGGGTGCCCAGAGAAGCTGTGGCTGCCCCATCCCTGGCAGTGCTCAAGGCCAGGTTGGACACAGGGCCTCGGAGCAAGCTGCTCCAGTGGAAGGGGTTGGGGTTGGAGCTGGAGGAGCTTTAGGGTCCCTTCCAACCCAAAGCAGGCTGGGATTCTATGAACAGAAGCTCAGTCACTGCAGCTGAGCCAGAGGTGGGATGGAGATGGCTGTGTGTAAGTGGAGCTCTCCTTCAGGAGCGTGCAGGAGCCTTTGGCAACAACTGTTTGAAACAACCCACAGGAAGACATTGGCCTCTTCAGAGAAATGGTTTATTGGTGGTACCCCTTCGGCAGGATTGATACAGTCCCAGACCATCCAGCACTGCTGCTAGGGTGACAGACCTGTACCTGAAGTGTTCATGAAACCCTTCTGTGCTGCTCTAAGGCTATTTCAGGAATGATATGTAACACTCAGATGGTCATTGATGCACTTGATGGTGCTCCTGACCACAACCCCGTGTGGGACGGAAACCGCCCTGCTCCCCATGAAGGGATGCTCAGGGAGCACTGTGTCGGTTCTGCTGTTCCTGCTCATGTTTTGGGGATGAGCTGGTTTGCCACCCAGGTTTGGCTGCATCTATGGCCTGGGAGAAGACATGCCCTGACCTCAGCTCAGCCCTGAGGAGCACACAGGTCTGTATCAAGCTCCCTCCAGTGCATGCTAAAGAGGGCATGATTAAAATGTGAAAAGATGATGGTGTTAGCCAGGCTGCCATTGAGCTCAGTGCAGAGATGGAGCCAGCTCTGTGGGCTGATTGCACTGGGCTGGGCTCACCTGCCCCTGGCCCTGCCTAATGGCAGGGGTGGCAAGGTCCCCTTGGGTCTTGTTTTGCCTCTCAGTGCTCCTCCCCTGCGCCCGAGTGCCTGGAGTCTGGGACAGAAGGGAATGACGGGGAATGTTTGCTGTGAGTCCTGGGCGAGACGAGCCCCAGCAGGCTGTGCTCCAGGAGCAGCGCCGGAGTCTTCCCCGCTAGTCCTTGTGGAGGCACCAGACCAGGGTCTGCCCCACGCCGGTCATGCTCACCACGCGGTAGCCGCGGCTCTCCAGCTTGTTGAGGACGACGCGCGGTGCATCGTTCACGTAGTACTCCCAGCTGCAGCAGGGGAGGGGGAGAGACCACATCAGGGAAGGCTTCCCTTGTGGCAGGGACTGCCTCCGTGCCAAACCCACGGCCAGCTGTAGGACTGAGCTGCCCATCATCTGCACGATGCAGCGTTGGGGTTAACCCGATGGGGAAGGTCAGCCCCCTCCAAGGCTGCCAGCCAAGGGGAAAGCGAGTCCGAGGTGGAAGGGTCACATTAAATTGGGATGTATTTTGGAGACCAAAGCCTTGCACTGCTCCGTTAAGTGGGCTGGAAGTGCACCAGAGAGGGTTCACGAGTGTTCACAGCGAGGAATTCATGGAAAAAGAGGATAAACTTGGCAAAGTGGGAAAGAAACCCCAGTGTTCTGCCTGCGACTTGGGTGGTTTTGAGAGCCTGTGCCTGAAATTTGAGGACTGGGTCGGAGCAATCCCAGGCCCAGCTACAGGTTGGGCAGAGAAGAGATTCAGAGCAGCCCAAGGAGAAGGACTTGGGGGTGTTGGTTGATGAGAAAATGAACATGAGCCGGCTTCAGTGTGTGCTCACAGCCCAGAAACCAACCGTGTCCTGGGCTGCATCCAAAGCAGCGTGACCAGCAGGTCCAAGGAGGTGATCCTGCCCCTCTGCTCTGCTCTCGTGAGACCTCACCTGGAGCATTGTGTGCAGTTCTGGGGTCCTCAACATAAAAAGGACGTGGAACTGTTGGAACAAGTCCAGAGGAGGCCACGAGGATGCTCAGGGGCTGGAGCACCTCCTGTATGAAGACAGGCTGAGGAAGTTGGGGCTGTTCAGCCTGGAGAAGAGAAGGCTGCGCGGAGACCTCAGAGCAGCTTCCAGTGTCTGAAGGGGGCCTATAGGGATGCTGGGGAGGGACTCTTCATTAGGGACTGCAGTGACAGGACAAGGGGTAACGGGTTCAAACTGAAACAGGGGAAGTTTAGATTGGATCTAAGGAGGAAATTCTTTCCTGTGAGGGTGCTGAGGCACTGGAATGGGTTGCCCAGGGAGGTTGTGAATGCTCCATCCCTGGCAGTGTTCAAGGCCAGGTTGGACAGAGCCTTGGGTGCCATGGTTTAGTGTGAGGTGTCCCTGCCCATGGCAGGGGGCTGGAACTGGATGATCTTAAGCTCCTTTCCAACCCTGACTGCTCTATGACTGGGGAGGAGTGAAGCCTTCAGCCAGGCCTTTGAAAAGCAGGAATCCTCAGCCCTCCGCTGAGCTGCCAGATAGGAGGAGCTGGAGCTGCTCAGCCCCTGCAGTTCGGAGCAGGGAGGAAGCAGCGCTCGGGATCCTTGTCCAGGTTTTGCTCCTCCGGGGTTGTGCTGGCTCCAGGTGCTTGGAGCAGGAGCTGCCTTCCCCTCTGCCTGATCCCGCGGCCGCTGCTCCACAGGTTTGAGGGCACTGGGGCTGCAGCATCCAGCAAGTGGGACTGCAGGAGAGCAGAGCATGGCCCAAACCAGGCTGCGGTGGGGAAGCAGCGGCAGAGCCGAAGCAGCCAGTGTGACCTTCAGGGCTGGAGCCGGCAGCCTTCCTGCTCCTCCAACCACGGCTGGATGCGGGATTCGAGCAGGTGGGGTAAGGTTCAGGATAATGTAGCTCTTCACTGACTCACTGTGCCAGATAAGCTGATAATGATGGGCTGCAGCAGCATTGGTGAGCTTGTTTGGGCACCTTAAAGCCCTCCACCAATTTTCATACCAGTAACAACACAAAAAGACCCAAAAGCATTCCCAAAGTGGCTGCTGCTGGGATTACAAAACATGAAGGACGTGCCGAGTCCTTTTAAAGCATGAAATAGCACCAAGATGTGAGAGGTTTCTTTTTTAGCCTCTCGGGACAGACTGTACTTTGCTGTAATTACAGACGTGGTGGAGAGATAATGGGTATTATTACAAGTGCCTTTGAAGTCAGTGCTTTCTCCAGCAGCCTTGCCACATACCCTTCGGATTCACGTGGTAAATAGGATCCCCATTATGCAGAGGCAGGCACGGGGCCGGGTTGTTTGGTACCTGTGGGAGCTACAGAAGGGGGACTGAGCTAAAAGCAGAAGGAAGCGGAGCTGCTCAGGGCTTTAAGCACAGCTCTGCAATGAGGGACACAAGGACTGCACGTGGTGCACATCGTGCGTGCTGCCGTCTCCATGTGGCTGGGGATGGAGCAGCTGGGAACATCTGCAGGGCCCTTCACCCCAGCTGAATGGCAGCAGGGAAGGCAGCAGTCACCCCAGCTTGGAGAGGACTCAGCCCCTGCACATCCCTGGAATCACAGCATCAACCGGGTTGGGAACGACCTCCAAGATGTTCAATCAATCCATCCTTGAGCATGTTGCCCCTCTGCCCTCCAGATGTGCCAGAACCGGAGACAGGATGAGTGTGCACGGGGTGGGATTGATGGGCAGGAGCATCCTCCGTGCTACACTGCAGCACCAGTAGGTGCTTTAGACCTCAGCTCCCAGATGCAGGTAATGAATAAGGAGCTGCCTTTCATCTAAGATCAAACAGCACCCATAACGTTTCTAATCACAGCAGGCTGAGTGGTAAATTCAGTCTAAGTGCAGGAGGGTTGACTGAGTGTGTATGAAAGATGGAAAGGGGAGACCTTAGAGCAGCTTCAGTGCCTGAAGGGGCTGCAGGAAACCTGGAGAGGGGCTTGGGACAAGGGCCTGGAGGGACAGGCCAAGGGGAATGGCTTGAACCTGCCCGAGGGGAGACTGAGATGAGCTCTTAGGCAGAAGCTCTTCCCTGGGAGGGTGCTGAGGCGCTGGCACAGGGTGCCCAGAGAAGCTGTGGCTGCCCCATCCCTGGCAGTGCTCAAGGCCAGGTTGGACACAGGGGCTTGGAGCAAGCTGCTCCAGTGGAAGGGGTTGGGGTTGGAGCTGGAGGAGTTTAAGGTCCCTTCAAGGCAAACCAGGCTGGGGTTCTGTGAGATGCTGGGGATGGTGCCTGGATCCATCCCCTTCTCTGCAGCAGCCGGGGCTCAGGTACTCGATCCCTGGCCCTGGGCAGGCTGGGGCAGAGCCCGGCTGCCCTCAGGGTGACCAAGTGCCACTTGCTGGGGCAGAGCCGCACAACCGGATCCCGCCCATTAGAGGGAAGCTCTCCCTTGGTAGAGGCAATCAGGAGCCTCGCTCCTGCACTGCGGGGCCCCAGCGCTGCTTCGGGCTCTTCCTTCCGGCTCCCTCCGAGCTCAGGTTCAGGGCTCTGGGGCTCAGGGCGCTGCAGGCGGGGCGAGCTCCGCAGCGTCCCGTAGCCGGGTGCGCTGTGAGTGCAGCGCCGCAGGCAGGGGATGCGGAATCCCGCTGGGATGTGGCCCCGGAGCCGGAGCAGGAGCTGGGACCCGCAGCACGGAGGCGGCAGCAGCCGCATTCCAGCCGCGTTGCTTCCTCCTTCCTCCCCCTCTCCTTTGCCCAAGCACTCGATGCGAGACGCGCAGTGGGGATGCTGCAGTTACCCTGGACAGCACAGCCGGGGCGGGAGGGAGCTCGGGATGCTCCGGGGCGGGAGGGAGCTCGGGAAGGAGCAGAGTGCGCCGGGGGAAGCTCGGGTCCTGTCTCCCAGACAAGCAAATCGCGGCGTTCAGCTGGAAGCGCTTCATCCGTCTTGGCCTTTCCTTTCCATCCCAGCCCCAGGCTTCCTGCCCTCTCCCAGGAGCCAGCACCACTTATTCCCTCTTGGAGCCTCTTTTCCTGCCCCAGGTCTCCCTTCTCCCATTGGCAACCTCCCAGCCCTGGGCAGGCAGCAGCACGAAGCTGCCACCGCTCCCGATCTCCGGCCACACACAGGGTTGGGAATAGGAGCATGGGGATGGCTCAGGCCAGGAACCCATCCCGAGCCCTTCCATGGGGAGTGGATGAGCCCGGGGCTGCCTTTGGAAGGGGTCTCTCTAACCGAGGCCTTTGGCTGTTATTTATTATCTCCTCTTCCTCTGACCCCCCCCAACACTGCTTTCAGTGTTGCAGTACCCAAGGATCCCACCTCGGCTGGGTTTTCCCAGCTCCAGGAACACCGAGAGCGAGAGCCTTGTTCCTTGGGAGCAGAGCCCAGCCCCTCCTGGCTCCATCCTCCTCTCAGGCACTTGTAGGCAGCCATCAGGTCCCCCCTGAGCCTTCTCTTCTCCACACTGAACCCCCCAGGTCCCTCAGCCCTTCCCCATCACACTTGGGCTCCAGGCCCTGCGCCAGCGCCGTTGGGACCACAGAGGCCAAAGGGTCGGATCTGATGGGGGGATCTGATGGGGACTGGCTCAGATGCTTTGTAATGGGGAGAAACCCAAAACGGCCCTGGGGAGCGGGATGGGATGGGATGGGATGGGGTAGGATGGGATGCAGGGAAGGGTGGCTGGTGGCTGGCACCAAAACAGCCATGGCCAGAGCCAGGCTGGGGTGGGCACTGCTGGCCTCTGAGCGCCTCGGGCTGGGAATGAGCCTGTGGGTGTCTGTGTTTCAGGGATCAGATGAAGTTACCCAGGAAGATTCAGGTGCTCCCTGCAGCTGCTTGACTGTATCCCAGGGTGTGAGGGGGAGGGAGGCAGGGAGGCCCTGAAACGGGGTCAGAGCAAGAGGAAAGAGAGAATAAATGAAATATCAGGGTTTCCTTGGGCGAGCGTTAACGGGCAGGGGCAGGGACACGTCTGGGCCCCATCAGCATCAAACCAGATTGGGATTCAGTGTGCCCCATCAGCATCGAATCAGTTTGGGATTCAGTGTGCCCCATCAGCATCGAATCAGTTTGGGATTCAGTGTGCCCCATCAGCATCGAATCAGTTTGGGATTCAGTGTGCCCCATCAGCATCGAATCAGTTTGGGATTCAGTGTGCCCCATCAGCATCGAATCAGTTTGGGATTCAGTGTGCCCCATCAGCATCGAATCAGTTTGGGATTCAGTGTGCCCCATCAGCATCAAACCAGATTGGGATTCAGTGTGCCCCATCAGCATGGAATCAGTTTGGGATTCAGTGTGCCCCATCAGCATCGAATCAGTTCGGGATTCAGTGTGCCCCATCAGCATCGAATCAGTTCGGGATTCAGTGTGCTCCATCAGCATCGAATCAGTTCGGGATTCAGTGTGCCATGGGGGTGTTCTCAGGGGCAATAAGGAGCAGGGAGTGTGGAACGTGGCAGAGGGGGACTTACAAGTGGTTCCCCAGCATGTTCCTCTTCGTGGCCCCCAGGAAGCTCATCAGGTCGGGATCCGAATGCTCATCACCCACCATGGTGGGGCCCACCTCCTGCAGGAAAGCAGCAGAGCTGGTGAGCGACGTGCGGGTCAGGGAGCTCCCCACTGCTCCCCAGCACAGCGCCGGGAGGAGCTTTACTGGGACGGGGATTGCTGGGGCCACCTTCCTGCCCCAGGAGAGGGCCTGGGGTGGCTTTGACCCCAGAGGGAACCCACTGGGGACAGTCCATGGGACAGCAACAAGGGACAAAATCAGCAAATCCGCCGCTGTGACAGCCCCGGTTAGGGATTGCCCCAGAACCCAGCCTGCTTTGGGTTGGGAGGGACCTCAAAGCTCCTCCAGCTCCAGCCCCAACCCCTTCCACTGGAGCAGCTTGCTCCAAGCCCCTGTGTCCAACCTGGCCTTGAGCACTGCCAGGGATGGGGCAGCCACAGCTTCTCTGGGCACCCTGTGCCAGCACCTCAGCACCCTCACAGGGAAGAGCTTCTGCCTAAGAGCTCAGCTCAGTCTCCCCTCGGGCAGGTTCAAGCCATTCCCCTTGGCCTGTCCCTACAGGCCCTGGTCCCAAGCCCCTCTCCAGGTTCCCTGCAGCCCCTTCAGGCACTGGAGCTGCTCTCAGGTCTCCCCTTCAGGAGCCTTCTCTTGTCCAGGCTGCCCCAGCCCAGCTCTCTCAGCCTGGCTCCATGGCAGAGCTGCTCCAGCCCTCGCAGCACCCCTGTGGCTCTCTGGAGCTGCACAAGCCCAGGTGCGTTCCACTGCTGGGAGCACTGGAAAAGGCACTGGAGCAGAGGGAGAGGCTGCGAACCCCCGGCAGAGGTGCCATGTGGTGCTGCCGGGGCAAGGCAGCGCAGCCCAGCCCCTGCCAAGCCCTTTGTGCTTTTGAAGCCATGGCTCCAATCCAAGGCTCTGCTGGGGATGTTTGCTGTGCCCGGCTGAAGCGCAGCTTCCAAAGCCTCCAGTGGGGATCATGCTGAGCTCTGCTGGCTCAGCTACCCTCCTGCACACTCTTCCCTAAGGTTCTACGGCCCCCAACCAAGCGGAGCTTCCTCTGTCTCTGTAGTCACTTCATGGACGTGTATGATGCCGAACACTGCTGCCAATGGATGCTTCAGTGCTGCAGCATCCCCCTCGCACCCAAGTCCCTGCTCTTTGAGGTGTGTAACAGAACATCTTCCCTCTCTCCCCACCCAGCTCCCACTCTCCAGTCCGTTTGCTTTGCCCACCGTTACCCCCTTCCTCCCACAAAACCACATCACCCGCGTTCAGCTTCCAGCCCCTTTGCGTTGGGCTCTCGGGACCCCCCCGGGCAAGGGGCGGCTGCCGGCTCCCGCAGCCCTGCAGGACATCCCGGCGGCACCCACCACCCCGGAGCGGTTCCTTTATACGGATCACAGAGGCTGAAGGGCTGCGCCCTCAGCGCAGCGCTCGGACCGGAGCTCCGCGGCCGCTCCCGGGCCCCTGCACCGAGGTCCCGAGGTGCGTTCTCGCTGCGCAGCACGGACGGGGCTCCCGCGGCGGCGGGCACCGGGCGCTCCGCATCGCCCCGCACCCTTCACGGGCACGGGGGGGGGGGGCGGTTGGGGCACCCTGGTCCTGCGGGCACCGGGGTCGGGGCATCACCCCCCGGCACCCCGGGGCTGCGGTCCCCGCCGCTCTCGGGGGCTCAGCGCGGCCGCCCCGTCCCGTCCCGCCCCGTCCCGTCCCGTGCGGGGCCCGCACTCACCAAGCGGATCTGCGTGCTGATGAGGACGTACGGCATCCTGCCGCTGCTCCCGCTGCTCCCGCCGCCCCCAGCGTCCCGCCCCGCAGAGCCACCGCCCCCGGGCATGGTTAAAGCGGGGCCCGGGCGTGGCGGAGCCTCCCCCCGAGGGCTCAAGGGGCTTGGGGACCCCTTTATGGTACCGTCGGGGGTGGGAGGGGAGAGCGGCTGGGAGGTGATGGGCAGGGGGTGATGGACACGGGGACGGGACCAGAGGTGATGGGCAGGGGGTGATGGACACGGGGACGGGACCAGAGGTGATGGGCAGGGGGTGATGGACACGGGGACGGGACCAGAGGGGATGGGCAGGGGGTGATGGACACGGGGACGGGACCAGAGGGGATGGGCAGGGGGTGATGGACACGGGGACGGAACCAGAGGTGATGGGCAGGGGGTGATGGACACGGGGACGGGACCAGAGGTGATGGGCAGGGGGTGATGGACACGGGGACGGGACCAGAGGTGATGGGCAGGGAAACAGGGCAGGAGATGATGGACAGGAAGGTGATGGGTCACAGGATAACGGACTGGAAGACAACTGACAGGGAGGTGGAGGACAGGAGATGATGGACAAGATGATGGGCAGGAGAGGGTGGACAGGGAGACAAAGGACCGGACGGCAGCGAACAGGGAAATAATGGACAATGGACACGGAGGACTGGGAAATGAATGACAGGGAGATAAAGGACTGGGAAATGATGGAGAGGGACATGAGGGCTGGGAGACGATGGACCAGGGGCCAGGCAGGAGCCCTGCACCCTGCAGAACACCCCAGATCCCACCCCAGGGTCCTTTCCAAACACCCCCCTGAAGCAGAGGCTTGGCATAACCAGCATACTGGGGAGAAAGTCCCTTTCTGCAGGGGCTGTTGAGCTTTAATCTGGGAACACTGGGTGCTAAATCCCTTCAAAATTGGAGTTGAAGCTCAGCTGAGGCCGGGGCAGGGAGAGGTGCTTCCTCTGTAGGTGCTGAGGCAGTAATTCACCCCTCAGCACCCACCTCTGCAGCTTGAGAAGTGTCTATAAATCAAAGCCTATTGCCATCAATAGCAGATAATGGTCCTGGGGCCTCCAGACGCGAGCAGGAGCCTCGCCAGGCAGCTCCCCAGAAGCTAGGAGCAAGCCGGAATCAGGGGCTAATTCTGCTGTTAATGGTGGGAAGTAAATGGCCGCAGGAGAAAGCAGGAGAAGGATGTTCCCGGGTGGAACAGGCTCTTCCCATGGGACCGGGGCCAGGCTCTCTGTGCTCCCCAGCTACTGATTAACTCCAGCAGGGAGCAAACAGACATGTTGGCTCCTGGGCTAAAGGGGACGCTCAAAGCCAAACCTCACTCCCCACTGCTATTAATGTTGGTATGAGCTTGTTTGGTGGGTTTGGTGTGATCAGGGGAACAACCAGCCCAGGCTGATGGCATCACCTTCCTCAAACGCGCCCCGGATATCCCATGTATTCATCATGAGCTGGGAGGGATGCCTAGTGCCGTGGGTTAAACATCGGCTCATTTGGATCATTGCCATCCTAAGGAGGGTTTTCCCCAATCCCTGCTGCCAGAACAGCCCAAATATTTACTCGTAGCTCTTGTTTTCCAGTGTAAACCCAGTTTGGCTTGTGGTGCAACCACTGAACACGATGCTGACTGACCCATGCACAGGAAACGCCGCCTCCTGCGCAGTTCACCTGGGTTCTGATGGATTCCAACGTGATCCCAACATCCACAACCCCTTTGGATCCCCCCGGGCAGCCTCACTGTGAATCCCAGTGCTGCAGAAGAGCACACGGGTACAGCATCCAGAGCCTTCGCTCTGTCCATAAATGACACTCACTAAGGGGCAGCGTGCCCAGCTCCTGCTCCAGAGCGGAGGTGGAAGCAGGAGCTGCCACAGAACTTCAGCATTGAATTTCCCGGTGAGATTCCGGGATCCGGGAGGCAGCCGGAGCCCTGCGGCGGCGTGCGAAGGAGCTGCAAAGCACAGAGCAGAGCACCCCAGTGGTACCATCCATCATCCCAAAGCGAGTTACTGCCCTTCAGCGCTGGCTCCGACCAGGCTACAGCCCGAAACAGGGACCAGGAGAGCTGCTGCTTGGGATCACTGCCAGTAACTGGCGTAGAAGAAAGCAAAAGGTCATTTGGCTCTGCAGAAATCATCACCCTCATCCCAGCCTTATGAGAGGCAAGTTGGGTTTGAAGAGCTTCCTTCTGCCTCTGACACGTTTTGGGGCAACACATCATCAGATATCATGGGAACATCACACCCAGTGGGGGTTTCTGCCCCTTCTACCCCCGGCACGTGGCTCTTTTCTGCTGGTATAAACGGGTTAAAGGGAAAAACTCCTGCTTTTCCCAGGGATTATTCCTTGCCAAAGCCCATTGTGATGAGTTTCATTAGCGCGTGGCAGGGAGCAGCGGCCCCGCTGCGGCGCTGGCGGTCAGATACCATCTTTAATATCCGCAGGAGCAGGATGCTGCCGGGCTGCGCAGCCCAGCCATGGGCACAGGTACAGCCTGTGGCTCCTCCGCACCCCGTCGGGGTCTGCCACTGCCGCTTGTCACTTGGCAGGGATGGGTGCAGGTCACGGAGCGAAGGCAGGTGAGGAGCCAGCAGCACTTGGGGTGTTTCTCCTGGTACCACCAGAACTAAAGCCCAGCGCCCCGTGGTTGCAGCGCCAGGCGTGGTGGCGTGCTGGGGCTGTAGCGGTTCGGGGGGGACTGGTGCTGCTGGGGTGGTCGTTGAGGCTGTGGTGCGGTGCTGGCGGTTGGGTCGCTGTGGTGGGTGTGTGGGCAGGGGAGCAGACGCAAGCGGAGGTGGAGGTTCAAGGGGGGGTGTAAGTGCAGGTGCAGGTGCAGCTGTAGGTGTACAGAGAAGCACAGACAGGTGTAGAAGTAGGTGCAGGTGTAGGTGCACATGCAGCTGCAGGTAGAGGTGCACCTGTAGCTACAGGTGCAGATGCAGTACAGATTCAGCTGTGAGTGCAGGTGCAGGTATTGCTGTAGGGACAAGTGAAGGTGGAGCTGTAAGTGCATATACAGGTACAGTTGCAGGAGCGGGTGGTGCTGTACCTCTAGGTTCAGGCCCCGCTGTAGGGTACGTACAGGTACTGTTGTAGATGTACAGGTACTGTTGTAGATGCAGATGTACCAGTACTGTTGCAGCTGTAGCTGTACCGGTGCTGCTGCAGCTGTACCTGCAGCTGTATTTGCAGCTGTACCTGCAGCTGTACCCGCAGCTGTATTTGCAGCTGTACCCACAGGTGTACTTGCAGGTGTATTTGCAGCTGTACCTGCAGCTGTACCCGCAGCTGTACTCACAGCTGTACCTGCAGCTGTATTTGCAGCTGTACCTGCATGTGTACCCGCAGGTGTAGGTGCAGGTGTACTTGCAGCTGTATTTGCAGCTGTACCTGCATGTGTACCCGCATGTGTAGGTGCAGGTGTACTTGCAGTTGTATTTGCAGCTGTACCCGCAGGTGTAGGTGCAGGTGTACTTGCAGGTGTATTTGCAGCTGTACCCGCAGCTGTAGGTGCATGTGCACCCGCAGGTGTAGGTGCAGGTGTATTTGCAGGTGTATTTGCAGCTGTACCCACAGCTGTACCTGCATGTGCACCCGCAGGTGTAGGTACAGGTGTATTTGCAGCTGTATTTGCAGCTGTACCCGCATGTGCACCCCAGGGGCAGGCACCGCTGCTGCTGCTGTTGCTGCACGTAAAGCGCAGCTACCACCCGGGCGTCCACGTGACGCCGCTCAGGCCCCGCCCCGGCGCTGGCTGATGACGCCGCTGCATGCCATAGGCCGCTCCGTGGTGACGCTGCCGCAGCGCGCCGGCAGGGGCGGGGCCGGGCAGGGCAGGGCGGCCATGGCGCCGGCGGGGCCCGGGCCCGGTCCCGGCCGCGTGGCGCTGGCGCTGGCGCTGGGGGCGGCGGGGGCCGGGCTGGGCCTGCTCTGGGTGCTGCGGCCCTGGCGGCGGCGGGGCCGGCCCGGGGGCAGCGACCGCGAGGAGCCGGCGGGGGAGACCGGGCGGCGGAGCCACGGTACGGGGGGGGCTGCGGTTACCGCTGCGCCCGGGGCCCGGCTCCGTGCGGGGCCTGCGCCGGTGAGCGCGGCTCCTGCCGCTGCCCTGCCCCGGGAGAGGCGGGGAGAGGGCTCGGGGGGGACCTGATGGCTGCCTACAAGTGCCTGAGAGGAGGATGGAGCCAGGAGGGGCTCTGCTCCCAAGGAACAAGGGATGGGACAAGAGGAAACGGCCTCAAGCTGCACCAGGGCAGGTTTAGATGGAGCTGAGGAACAATTCCTGCCCCAGAGGGTGCTCAGGCATTGGAACAGGCTGCCCAGGGCAGGGCTGCAGGCACCGGCCCTGCAAGTGCTCACACACCGAGGAGACGAGGCCACAGTGCCATGGGTTGGGGGTGGCCTTGGCAGTGCTGGGGTAAGGGTTGGACTGGATGAGCTTGAAGGGCTTTTCCAGCCTGGTTGGTTCTGGATTCACAAGAGCTGCTCTCAGGCTTTAACTGCCCTCACCCACTGCCAGGTTTGGAACTGCAAAAAGCTGCCCCCAGAACCGCCCTGGATTTATTTACCTGCAGGAGCAGGACTTGGGGCTGGCTCTGTTCAGGCTCTGAACTGGGGCTCGTGGCACCAGCAATGGGCAGGGACAGAGAAGCTGTGGCTGCCCCATCCCTGGCAGTGTTCAAGGCCAGGTCGGACACAGGGGCTTGGAGCAAGCTGCTCCAGTGGAAGGGGTTGGGGTTGGAGCTGGAGGAGCTTTAGGGTCCCTTCCAACCCAAACCATTCCATGAGGGGCAAGCATCAGGTGCTCCCCTTTAACAATGTGTTTAGTGCAGTGGGGTGGACTTAAAAATTAGTTTACTTTTAGGAAGAACTTCTACTTGAAAACCCTTCCTGGGGTGTCTGAAGGTTTGTCTTTGCTGCTGCATTAGGGCAGGAGTTGTTCGTGCCCAGTGTTTTAACCTGTGGTCTCACACAGCCACCTTTTCAATACTCATCCTTTAATGTTTTCCTGCTGCAGCACATGTAGGGTGAACCACACAAGAGAG